CGTTTGTGCCCTTAGAGATGTAATTTCAGAGTCATCATGCTTTATTTATTAAAAAAATACTCTCTTCAAAATTTCAATTAAAAGAAAAATACGACGAAAAGTAGTATGGGATTATCTGTTGGGTTATCTATTTCAGGCCTACCCAACTACCAGACTCGGCACCTACGGATCCAGAATAAACCGGTATATCAGACCACACTACCCGTTTTCAAGGTGTGTGTCAGATCACATTACAGAGTATCATACCCCATCACAAATTTTGTAGACCTACCTGTCATCAGGGTAATATTTCACCCCGACAGAATATGCTTCCGCTATCAAAATTAGGTCTACTTTTCTAAATTAGTATATAAGTTTGCAAGTTCTTATTTACAAAACATCATTGGCTATGTTCGAACCTAAATTTTATGTTAAAAAATTGCCGTATTGTCAGATTTTTAGCATAAACAGGGAAAATTGCAGCAGCGCATGAATCTAGATGAGATGCACTACTTTCCAACCCCGCTTAGGATCATCGCTATCACATCTCGCACCAGGCAAAATCGGTGTGGTGGCTGATGCTCTGTAATGCGATCTGACACACACCTTGAAAACGGGTAGTGTGGTCTGATACCGGTTTATTCTGGATCCGTAGGTGCCGAGTCTGGTAGTTGGGTAGGCCTGTATTTCTGTGATATTAATTCGAAGATTAGACAAGAAAATGTCAAAGGGATAACAATCTTTCATAAAATATCCATATTTCACAATAAATTCATTGTAAATAACTCATAGAAATACAATGAATTCTATTTTGCCCCCAAAAACGGCTGTTAACACAATTATTTTGGTATCTGTGCTTGCCATCACATCACATGATCTCCATAGCTTACTGCACTCTGTAATAATCTCTTCAGAGATTATTACAAAAAAAAAAAAAAAAAAAAAACAGGGACTAATTTTAAATGTGGGAATGGATTCACAATTATAATGTACAATCGGTAAGTATTGGAAAGTTGCTTTTTACCCCAGGAAAATTCATTGTTTGGCCAAAATGAACAGTTGTTATCCCTTTAATCAAATAAAACGCAACGGCCAATGGTCCCTGGTTACGTTGGAAATAAAGATTCAGATATTGAATCAAAATATTAAAATATATTTTGATTATATAATTAGTGACACTATTACAAACACGTCAATGATACACAAATGATACGTATTCAGTATATATGTTTGTATATAAGCAATATAAAAAACGCCACCGCTTACGTAAAATATCATAAAAAGTTAATAGTAAAAATGACAATGAAAAGAGCTTTTCTTATAAAAACTTCAGTCTCAACTCTTCACGTGCTTAGCAATTGATAAATTTAATAACTAAAAGGTAATCCGATTACTTTGATTTCCAAATTCAATCTTCCCTTTGTCTAACAAAAGTAATAAACTAAACATTTAAAAATTGGCAGTTACGCTTTAACCGTAGCAAAAGAATAATCTGACCATGGCATTTTTTTGTCCTTTTGCTAACCAACACTTACTATTAAATCTGCAGAAATGCAGTACGTGTCTTGAAATAACATTTTCTGTATTATAGCTTATATATAGTTAGGTAAAATAATGTGTACTTTTTAGGGTCAGAAATACAAAATAATCGTAACATAAATAAAAAAAACAGTTTGCTATTTATAAGCATTAACATCACAAAAAGGATACAAAACATGACTTTAATAGAAGAATTTTGCAAAATAACACAAAAACAAATTGAGCAAAAATGTTCATTAGCTTGGTATTTGGATTATGAAGTGAGAAAAAATTAAGCATGTGTTCTATCATTTATTACCCAAATCAATTGGTGACGAGGACATAGCCGTGATTCAGTAGTACCTTCCAATGCTTGTCTAAATTACTCTCACCTAAATTTAATGAAATAATACCTTTGATCAAATTCAAAAGGTTGTGTCGAAAAAAATAAAAGGCCGACTACAAACAGTTTCCGATGATCCTTCTCTACTAGCTCCTATACCTCATTCTGTTGTTTAAAATCATTAATTTATATTTACCAGTAAAATTTCTAAACATCCCTCAGAAAAGCACTTTAATTATATGACTGCAACAACATTGGTTTCAATAAATCAGAATAACAGGAATTACAGATAATTACTCAAATATTGGGATCTTTGAAGAATTCCTTTCAAAATCTTAAAAACCAAAGGGCATACAGGGGACAATTTTCCTATATGGTCCCGTTTTAGTAGGACCTTTTAATTTATCTATTGTCATCCACTAACTAGTCTCACTTCACTAATTTCTTAAATAATTAACATCATTATCAATAAGTCCTTATTGATAATGATGTTAATTATTTCTTAAATAATTGACATCATTATCAATAAGGACTTAATTTATCTTTTGAAAATATTCTTAAGTTGACTTCCGCTCTACCTGACACAGTGCCAAACACCTGGCACAAGTGATCATCTTCAATTTGCAAAGATTTCACAACAGTGGGATGCACAAAACGTTCCAAAACCAAGAAATGGTGAAACTCCTCCTTGCAATTTCTCACTAGTACTCTAACACGGGTCTTTAAACTAAATTCTGACAGGTAAGAATCCCAGTTGTTCTATGGCCTGGACGTATAGTGAGAACGCGTTGCCTAAGCGACACTAACAAACCTCGCTTCATAAGTACCCAAATTTATCTTTCTTTTACAAATTGACACTATGGATCTTTATAAAGTTGAGTCTTCGTACCTGACACAGGACTTCGTTTTCAAAAACATGACTTTTATGGAAGAACTATCTGATCACGTTTATTTTCAACTAGCCTACCATTTTTCCTACAAACCAATCAAGTAAATTCCAAGTTCTATCATTATATAAATACAAAGATCACATTTCGAATTTTGCAAAATAACACACAAACAAATTGAGCAAAAATGTTCATTAGCTTGGTATTTGGATCATAAAGTGAGAAAAAATTAAGCATGCATGTGCTCTTTCATTTATAACCCAAATCAGTTGGTGACGAGGACATAGCCGTGATTCAGTAGTAGCTTCCAATGCTTGTCTAAATTACTCTCACCTAAATTTAATGAAATAATACCTTTGATCAAATTCAAAAGGTTGTGTCGAAACAAATAAAAAGCCGACTACAAACAGTTTCCGATGATCCTTCTCTACTAGCTCCTATACCTCATTCTGTTGTTTACAAACCATTGATTTATATTTACCAGTACAAAATTTCTAAACATCCCTCAGAAAACACTTCAATGATTTGATTGCAACATTGAAGAACGGTCTCAATAAATCAGAATAATAGGAATTATAGAAAATTACTCAAATATTGGGACCTTTGAAAAATCTTAAAAATCAGAGGACTTACAGGTGACATTTTTCCTATATGGTCCCGTTTCAGAAGAACCTATTTATTTATCTATTGCCATCCACTAACTTGTCTCACGTCACTAATTCCTTAAATAAACGGCATCGTTATCCTTAAGGACTTATCTTTTAAAAATATTCTTAAGTTGACTACCGTCCTACCTGACACAGGACTTCGTTTCCAACCACCTGGCACACGTGATCATCTGCAATTTGTGAAGATTTCACAACTGAATCATATACGAAACTTCCCAAAACCAAGAAAATGGTGAAACTTCTCCGTGACATTTCTCACTTGTATGGAAGTCACCCGCACCTCCATATATTGGTCTTTAAACTAAATATCGACGACAAGAATTCCGCAATTATTCTGTGGCTAATAGTTGGTTGCAATACGTTGCCTAGGCTACAGGGTCAATCTTTACTGTGATTGGGAGAGGTAGACTCTATATCCTAGAAATCTGCAATTTGATTGGTTTTCACGTATTTCCCTTGCGTACATTTTCGTTCTTATTTTGAGACAGAAACGTATAAATCGAGAGACATTAAACGACATCAACAAAAACAGCGACCATGTGTTTTATGTACTCGTTTGTGCTCGCAAATGATTTGTCATTAAATATTAATTTTAATTTAGCTGTTACAGGCAGAAATTGAAATGAATCGCCGAATGAAGTTAATGGTTACCTGATGCCTTTGTTTGCTTAAATTACATTACTTGCTCGCAATTTTTGATGCACAATTTGTTTATATGTGCACATCCTTTCACTTCACTTACTTTACCTTTTTCTGTGGGTACATATACAAAGACTAAAAGCTTTTGATCAATGAATCGGTCGAAAATCTGGTATTTTTAGTTACACACACACAAAGTTTCTGTTATAAAATGATCAAAAACAGATGACAAATGGGTTTATATGTAAAAAAAAAACATGTTAAAATCAACTTTAGGATTTTTTATTCCCAGGGATAATTTTGTATGATGTCTGATGACAGTACTGCGAAGGTGATCGATATTACAATTACACTAAATAACAAATATTAGGTGCAGTATTCAGATTACAGTTCGATAGCATGCCAATTCATTTAATTAGAAATAGTAAAATGCTCTTCAAAATTGTACTAAACAGATATCAATTAACCTGTTTATTGCACTGTTTTTCTTTTTAATAGAGGCTTGGATTACTAGGGTGGGAAAGATATTTCTTGTTCTTAAAGGCACTTGACAGCCAATTAGAAGACTGAAATGCTTGCCTATGGCGTATTATGCAAGAAATTGCGTATTTTTCAAAAAGACGCAAAGGGCTTTGGGGTTATAGAGAAAGATAAATTCTAGGCACATCAAAAGCTGCACGAGTTTTTTTCCTGATTGACTGTCCCTCAGTTGATGAGGTAGTATCGATTTTCCTCCTATTTACACGAACTCCGTGTGTTATCTATTGCTTTATGGAAGCCTCTGTTACAGGTAGCGTTACTGATATCAGCAGTGCAGACTGCCCGACTACTAGACGCCTCAAAGGAAAAAAACGTCCACAAACAAACAAAAAGAAATGTCACTGTAAATAAAAATTTTAAAAATAAGTAAACATTTATGCACAACTGCTAGGCGCAGCAACAAACCTTGCACAAGTCTAAACACCATTTACGTACGATTTATATTTCCAATTTGATACACAAGTATAATGAACATAACATTTCAGATCATAGTTACTATTTTTAGGCAAATTCTACAGTTACGGATATCATTCCCTTTAATCAAAGTTACAGAAATGATCTGATGCAAATGTAAACAACAGGGCAAATTAACTTCCCCTTTCCCTCATAATTCAAAAGTACATTATAACCTTTTTTTTTTTTTTGCAGTCAAATTCATTGTTCAAAATAAAATATATGCAATCCTCTTTTTTTACAAAAATAACTCCTTAACCCTGATTATACATGAGTCAAGAAACACCAAAACGTGGATTGTGGAATAGCCCAGTTATTGTCGGAGTTTTGAATTAAACCAGTCATATTTTCCTTCTTACATGGAAAAATTTCAAAAATTCACTTGTTCATATAATTATAATTATTATAATCTTCAATCATTTGAATACACCTAAGTAGACTCACTGCATGTGGAATTTTTCCATTATTAGCTGACTGCTCCTCTTTTCATAAAAAAAGTTTGCATGTTGTGGATTGCTCACAAAACAGAATATATGCTACTATTGAAAATAAATTTGTTGCATGGTTTTCTAGTTATATTGCACTTGTCTCTAGGCACCTGTCGCCGGCTTATCTGGATTTTCCTGAAGAGGGAGCCCCTTTCTCTCTGCCCAGCCGTTCCAGCCACCAATATAGTGACGAGCTCTGAAAGCAAAAATAAATAATAATAAAAAACAAAACAGAACAGAACGGAAAAGAACACACTATTATTAATATAATTACCAGAATTTTCATTTATAAAATAATTATCACAATTGTTATTAAAATAACTCTTCTAAGACAGCAATCAGTCATGCCAATAAATGTTCAAACATTTTTCTCAAACATTTCATAAAATAAATGAGAAAAATTTACCCTGACAAAGAAATATATAAAAAATTGCAAATCTTTTTGGATTTATTTCTTTCTGTGCAAGTTTTAAACTCTTATTTGCAAAATAACTAATTATATATCATGTACAACCACAAGTGTTCACTCAAATAAACATATGTACCTACCACAATCAAAGTCAATAAACAAATTATAATATTGTACAAATATAAAACTAGAGGATCAGAGAGGCGATACCGCCTCCGAATATTGTACCACCAGCTGGAGCAAGCGCATTCTTTTAGACCCCCACATACACAAAATAAGGGACACAGCCACCAGTCTTGTGCTTGACAAGCTGTAAACATGCAACAAGAATTTTAAAAATATGCAAAAAATATATATAACTAAAAATGGTACAATCAAATTTAAGTTAATCATAAGGTAGGTCAAAGGTCAATTTCAAGGTCACAGTAAATTGCCAGTATATGACTTCCTATTCAAGTTCAATAGTAACTATGGACCTATCTCTGCCAGTTTTAGAGATAAAAGGGAAGCAAATTTTGCAAAGTTCAGTTCATGGTGAAAAGTAGGTCAAAAGTCAATTTTAAGGTCTCATCTAGATTGCCAGTATATGATTTCCTATTCAAGTTCTATAGTAACTATTGACCTATCTCTGCCAGTTTTGGAGATAAAAGGGAAGCAAATTTTGCAAAGTTCAGTTCATGGTGAAAAGTAGGTCAAAAGTCAATTTTAAGGTCTCATCTAGATTGCCAGT